TGGATCTCGATGAATACGCACCCGTATCGGTCACCACTAGGAGACAGCAGATGCCTCAAATACGTCGTGGAGATCCACCTTGGGCTCTCTGGTCCTCTTGTATGGGACCACATGTACCGTTGTACGGGCGCACCATAGTAAACTGAGAATCACAAAATGCACTAAGGCGAGTCGGAGATGGGTTTGCGTCCAGCTCGGCAATTTGCGTCCGGATCATCCGGATAATGTAATTATAAAGCATCACCAATTTCCCATAGAATCTCCAAATGTTTGCTGCATGTTATTAATACAGCGCTTTGCCGGACTTCGCGACTTGGCCGACGAGCATGGCAAGCCCTCCTCCGCGCCCTGTGGCCGAGCACCGACGGCTATCACCACGTGGCTTGACGCTGCCTCTGTCGCCCTTGTGCCCAAGCGCGACCATGGAGATGAACCGCTTCGTGGCCACGCCCAGCCCGTAGGCAGCAGCCAGTCTCGCCGATCCTGCACGTGGACCTCAACCCAGCAGACACGCGCATGGCATTGGGTGGCAGTAACCGCTTCGTCAAGGCCTTTGGCATCGAGGAGGCTTTTGCACGCTCAGCGTCCACAAGGTCGCGACCTTGAGCGGCGGGATGACGCGTAATACGCGCCACCGCCTCCTGTATCTTTGTCTTATCTCTCTGTCTAGTGTGCGTGTGGAGGCTCTACGCACAGGAGGCCGTCGCGTGCTGACGGGCTTCGCCGCTGAGCGGCGCATGACGTGCATCGGCAGAAGGCCAGCTCAAGCGCTGAGTCTCGAACGCCATGGTAGCGCAGGCCAAAGAAGCTTGAAGTACACGAACCTGCTCTCGAACGCAAACCAGAGCAAGGTCACGGCCGAAAGCAACTTTGTGCTCTTCGACGTCGACAACTAGATTCGCGCGTGCAAGCTTGTGTCGACGCCATCGCTCCGAGTACATCTGTACGTGGTCGTCGCGACCAACGCAGAAGAGACCCGTGTCATGCCTCTTCTGCGCATGTGCGTTCGTCTTGGGCTCTGTCACCAGTAGGTCATCGCAACTCTTTGACCGCACGCAGCCAGTGCCTGCCATATCATCCAACGCTCTGTTCACCTCGAAATTTACAGGTGTAGGCGGCGGTCTCCGATAAACGATTTCCGTTTGGATGCTCGTCTATCTGCGTCTTCTGCGTTGCGTTGACACGGGCATGGACGGCGGAGCTGGTCGATTGGGTCCGAAATTGGCTGCTTCGGGGTCGCAAATCAGCACGTAGAGCCCTTGTCCATCACGAGTGGCTTGCAGTGGGCCGTCAAAAATGATCGAGCATTCTCCAATGTTTGCTACATTTCTACATTTGGTCATGCACGGCTATGGCTGGTGTGCAACGATCCCACCTCATCACGGAAAAGTCATAAATTGGGACAGATCGGTTCCATGACAGATCGCGACTGGGCGATCTCTCCCAACTCGACTCAGTGATGCGCTTCCGGTATACCTTTGCCCTCGTCCCCATCACATCATGGCCAATATTGTTCTCACCGCACACGTATTCTTTTTCTCTCCATCTTCATTCGACCGACGATTGATCCGCCATAAACTTCAGCATAAAGATCCAAATCATCAGACCCTCAAGCTCATGACATCGATCCGGCACAGGAAACAAGTCCAACGCACCACGCCGCCAAAACGAAAACAAGAAATCGAAATCTATACAGATGCACTGAGGCGTGCCACCACATTGGCAGCAACTACGCATGCTACGTGTCCTATCGCGTTGTCTTTGTCTTATCGCGGGCGGTGTTGGTGAGTCCATACTCACGTCCAAAATCGCCCGCTTGCCCACTCACTGAGACTTGGGCGCCTTGCCGTCGGCAGGGGCGGTCATTGAAGCAGCTTGGTCGAGTGCTGGTGCCGACCGCTTTCGCTCTGGTCACGGGGCCACACGGGACAAGGGCTGGCCTTGTACAAGGTGCCTTAGCACTACATGAACGTGCTGGGATGCTACCAGCATTTCAGGCGGTGGCTTGGTGGGCAAGTCGGACAGCTTGAGGCTCCGGCGCCTCCGCAGCCACAAACTGGGGCATGGGCGGCGGGGCCGGGTGCAATGGTGAAATGTAATCTAGTTGCACGTGAATGCATCTTCATGCACCGACAATCCGAGTGGCTTACCCATCGCAATACCGGCATAAGGAGCTGGGGCATCGAAAGGGCCGACAGCAGGCGCCAGCGATGCCCAGACCTTCTTGTGTGCCTTTGTCGCGGGAGCCGGTGCAGCACGGGAGCGAAGTGCCTTGGCGTTGGCCATGGCTCTTGGCGTGGCCGGAGCCGGCGCGGTGTTCGGAAAGGCGTGCGGCACTTTGGGCAATTTGTCGCTACGGTCGTTGGGAATGCCATGCGCTTGTGCCACCGCAGGAGCTGTGTCACTTGGTGCTGGACGCGCGCGTCGAGCTCGAGCCCGCTTTGATCGAGTTGACGTTGCACTGCGGCAGCGCGCTCAGCGGCCTCGGCAGCAACACGAGCACGAAGCATTTGGTTGTCCTCAGAGAGACGTTGTGCCATTCGCTCGCGCTCTCGGGCGGAGGCAGCGTGGTCAACCGGCGCGGCTGGCGGAAACAACGCCCAGATGCAGCCGAACTACGCGGCGTGACATCGTTATACCAGTAGATTTGGGCCACCAAATCTCATCTCCTTGCCGGGGACTCGACGGGCCTTGAATCGTGGAGAGGCATTCGGTGCCGAGCGCGCGAAGAACGGCGCCATCGGCGCGACCACCGACCGCCGCCAGCGACCGACACTTACACAGCAATGGACGTAAGACACAGAGCACACAGCACGCCGGAGCGCGCCATGGCCCTGCGGGCGTCGCGGCAAGCCGCGCCGCCTAAGGCACCAGTGCCCTTGGAATGGCGTCACCCAAATCCGGCCAACCTTGGCCCTTCCGTGCTTTCGCCCCGCGGGCGCGGTCGCCCTGCCTCCACGAAGTCCCGTCGCCTCCCGGCCCTCCGCCGCCACCAGTCGTCCGGCCTCGCCGCGTGCGGCGTCGATTCTATGGGCTCGGTAGATATCTGATTTATTCGGCTGCGAGCTCGGACGGTTTCGTTTGAAACACGCCCGACGGCTTGCACTCCTCTATCGGGTGGTCCGAGTACAGGAGCCTGCGTACGACCTCGCGCGAGGTATCCCTCGGCGAGTGGGGTCCACGGTGGACCCAGATTCATCCCGTGGTGGACCGTCTACCACGGGATGAATCCCTCCATGCGCAGGTAACTCCCAACGACCAAGTGCTGGTGCCAACTCCCACGCATTCCGTCGTAGCCCTACGTATGCGAAGTCTTGGAGTTGGTTTTTGCTAATTTCAACGCGAACACGTTTAATTGATTGATGGATTGAGTGATTGATTGAATGATTGATTGATCGGATGTGGACCAATAAGGGTGGGGACGATGGACCTTTCCGTGGGGGTTGTTCGGGGTCGGAACCGTGTTTCGTAGAAGACCCCGGAGCAAGAGGGCTCACCGCTAAATCAAAACGCGCGTGAGGTAAGGAGCGTTGATAATGATGAGCGCACGTACCACTTGCAGCGTATAAAGTTGCAGCCCATGGAGCGCTCGACAAGCGTGCGGCACTTAGGACACTGCTCCCAGCGCATCTTGAGCGCCATGAGCTGGGCTTGCTCGTGGTCGCCGCCGGCGTCCACCATGCGCTTGTACGCGTCGCACGCGAGACCGTCGTGCCAGCCCACTTGACAGCGGATGCAAATCTTGGTCTTGCAGATCGGGCACGACGTCTGCTCTTGCCCCGCTCGGATCGCAGGCTTGAGGAACATTTCACTGCACTCCTTGGGGCAGTAGAGGCCATTGCCGTCCGTGGCCTTGAACGTCACGAGCTGGCTAAACTGCTCAAAGAGCTCGGGCGAGATGACGGCCGCGACGTGGCTCGGACGGATCGCTCGCCCGCACTGCATGTTGCAGCACGTGACGGGGGCCGCGCGGTCCTTGACGAGCTCTTGATCCAGCCCGAGAGGCAGCCGATGTCCAGTAATTTGGCGCTGCAGCGGAGCCGCCAGCAGGCCTCGTCGGCGACCCGAACCTCCTTGCGGCGCTACGCCACGCGCGCGTTGATGGGCTTGTCGAGCGTGTCCATGCAGATGGGGCACGTCGCCCGGTTCTCGGGCGTGGCCGGCGGGTCCGCGAGCTCGACCCAAACTGCCCAGTCCGCCATGTGTCGGGCAGGTCGGCAAAAGAAAAATGACCGAATTATAGGCGTGTCCGTGGAGAGAAATTCTCTCAACTGGCAAGCTTTTTATGCCAACGGGCCAATCTCACATCAATTTGGTCACGAATGGCGCGTCCAGTGTTAATCACATACAATGAGCAAGTAAAACCTTGCATTCTCTAAGAGAATGATGTGAGATTGGCCCGTTGGCGTCCGCTTCGCGCGCCAGCAGTTCGCTACTAGTACGAGCCGCCGCGTCGCAGGTGCTGGGACTACCAGCTACCAACGAAACAAAGGCCCCACGCCTTGAACGTGGTTTGTGCTCCGTTTTTTTGCGATGCGCGACAACGTTTTGACGCTCTGCGGCAACGATTTCCTCGGCCTCGGCAAGGGTGACGTTCTTGACCAAGCCCGCGGCGCGCTTGATATGCTTCAAGACGCAGAAGACCGAGAGGGACGTCTTCCGCCCCTCGCCCCTCCAGAAGGAGCTCATCCTCGCGGCCATCGGCGCCGTCGACGCCAAGAACGCGTCGGGTGGCATCATTGTCTACTCGACGTGCTCGGTCATGGTCGTCGAGAACGAGGCGGTCGTCGAGCATGCGCTCAAGAAGCGCACGGTAAAGCTCGTCGACTGCGGCCTCGACCACGGCAAGCCCGGCTCTACCCGCTACTAGCAGCAGCGCTTCCCGAGCATGACGCTCGCGCACCGCTTCGACCCGCACATGCAGAACATGGACGGCTTTTACGTGGCCAAGTTCGAGAAGTACACCAACGCCAAGCCCGACGACAGCAACAAAAGGCGGACAACGAGTCCAAGGTGCTCTCCAAGCGCCAGAAGCGCCAGCTCGAGAAGGTCAGCAAGAATGCGGCCGATGCCGTCGACAGGGCTAGTGACGACGACGCCGAGGAAGAAGAGGCGGCTGAAGCTTCGGAAGAGGAAGAGGAGTCCGTCGTGGAAGCCAAGCCCGTCAAGAAGCAGCAACAGACGGTAGCCAAGCCTGCGGCCAAGAAGATCCAGGGCAAGAACCAGCCGATAGGCAAGGGCAACAAACCCTGACGTTGAACGCCAAGGCCATGAAAGCGTACGATTCGCTGTTTCGTTTGCTTCGAACTTCGTATATAGCTTCGATAGTAGACTCGACCGCTGCTCCTCCGTCGAAGGTTTGTACGCGTGGTTGCGACCGAGATGACAATACTACGTCGTTCGATATCGTCGACTAGTTCTTAAATAACACACGGTGCATCGAGAGCAGATAATTACACACCGTTCTACACCTATCCCTAGTACTAGTATGTGGCGGGACCTTCGGAATTGCTTCTTCATGGTCTTCTTGTTCTTGAGCTTGCGCCGAAAGTCAACGTCTTGCGGAGACTCATCCAGTCGACCTCGTGCGTGGGCCACGGGTCCGGCTTGCAAAAGCTCGTGACAAACGCTAGCACGTCGGCCACCTGCCGCTTCGGGAGCGCAACCGTCGCCATCACCGGCTCGTCGTTCGCCTCGTCGTCTTCCATGGCTTCGTCGCCCGTGCTGTCGGCCTGGACGACCTTGCGCACCGTGTTGGCAAAGAGCCACGTCGACTTGTCCAGGTCGGGCGTCTCCTCGAGCGGCTTGGCGTCGACGTGGTCATCGCCATCGTCTTCAATGACGTCGCCAAGCATGGACGCAAAGCTAAAGCCGGTCGACACGGCCGCGGCCGGCTTGACGATACCATCGAGCGCGGCTTCCATCTCTTCGCCGGCGGCTTCCATCTCTTCGCCGTCCTCCGAGTTGGCGCGGACGCGCGAAAACACGGTCGAGAGGTCCGACGTCGCTCCTCCGATACCTCAGGCATCGACGTCTCCTTCTGGACTGGCATCGGCGGCAACACTTTGCCATCGTCGTCGCTGTCCTTGGCCATCGCGGCGTTGGTCGGGACCGTCTGCTCCAAGGCCTTTGCGTCGACGTCGCGCGGGTCGTACCGACGCACGGCCGCGAGCCAGCCGAGCTGCTTGAGGTCCTTGGCGTCTGAGACAGACCGGTGCAAGCGGGTCTTCGCTCGTTCCAATTCCATGTTGGCGAAGACGAGCGAAAGCTCGGTCTCTGCAATGTACGCCCGCTTGGCGACCTCGCCGGCGTCCGGCGTGAGGGTGGCCCATGCCTGGATCGCATCGTTCATCGACGTCGTGCGTAGCGTCGTCAACGCCGTCGTTGAGCTCGTCGCCTTTGACGAGGCGCGCGTCGAGGCGGAAACGCTGGTCGCCGCCACACCGTTTTTGCATCTCGAAGAGCCGCTTGCCGTCCGCGCCGGCAAACTCGGGCCGGAGCTCAAAGAGCGCTTCAGGCTCGCGCCGCTTGAGCCCGAGGAAATCGTCGTCGTCCTTGTCGTCATCATCATCGCCGTCCGAGTCGCTGAAGAACGCGCGCTTCTTGGACGGCGCCGGCATTGACGTGGTCTATACGTCCGAGTTGATCGTCTTGTTGGTGGCAGCAATCGGCGTCGGCTGCATCTTCATCGCAGCCACCTGCGCCTCGCGCTCCTTGATGACCGCAAGGCGACGGGCGTTCGCAGCTTCGTCCACGACTGGCGCAGCAGGCGTCATTTCGACGGACGCGGCCTCGAGCTCCTCGGCGATCTCGGCCTCCATATCGACATCTTCGTCGTTGTCTTCGCTGTCGGTTTCGCTGCTGCTGCTGCTCGCGCCTGGGCGTAGGCGAGCTCCAGCTCCCGCTCGGTCGCCGCTGCCATGTCAATGTCATCGGCCGGCGACGCCTCGTCTTCGTCCGCCACGCCGTCTTGCTCATCTTCTTCGTCTTCTTCGTCTTCTGACGTCTTGTAGCTTATGGCCGCATCCTCGGGCGCACCGACGTCCTCGCCCGACGTCTTCGGAGCTCAAGTGACAGTCGTTCTCGTCGGCGTCTTCCGTGTCCGACTGCGGGGCCTCGACCACGACCGTCGCCGCCACGGGAGCCTTGGACGCCACGAAAGCATACGCTTGTCTTTGTAGCGCTTGACCTTTTGAGCTCCATTGTCGGCGCTTCGTCAACTTGGGCAGGTGCAAAGGCGCGCTCACGCTCGGCGACCTCGTCGTCGGTCTACGCCGCCTGCAGCCGCTGCAAAAGTCAGGCTTGGCCGACTCAGACGCGCAGCCGCTTACCCTCCCACTAGGGATTGTGGTACGCCTTGACATAGGCGTCGACGGTCGACGTCTCGGTGGCCACGTCGCCGGACGCCGATGCGATCTGCAGGTAGGCAAGTCGTTGGCTGCCGAGTTGGTCATCAGCTGGACGACGTCGATGCACAGGTCGGCGTTGTTGGTTGTTGGTGAGGAGGCCCTCGAAGCGCGAGACGAGCTAGGCCTTGGTCACAACCTCGGGCAGCCGCCCAGGTAGGAGCCGCTGGAGCATGGAAACTTGGGACTGGGTCCCGAGTCCCGACCACATGGTTAAAGTGCGGCACAACAGACACGCACTTACAGTGTAATCGAGCTCTGTTTGTCCATGGACCGGGTGGGTCTTAATTTAGTAGGGGGTGATGCCGAAACTAGACTCATTTGCATAGATTCTTCTCATGTCTCGTTTAAGGGTAGTACCGAAATCGTATCAATAGACCCCCTCCCCACTTTAACCTGTGGATTTGACGTTGAAGAACATGGTGGCGGTCGCGTGCGCAAGCCTCGGACCCGATCGTAGAGACCCGCGTCCGCGCCCTCCACACGATGGAGACCAAGGTCAGCCATGGGCTCTGGCCGGCGCCGTCGGCGCTCCCGCAGGCGCTCCGGTCCATGCTCGCAGACAGCCTGCGGCCCTCACCATCGACAACCTACAGGCCGCGACCCTCCTCCAGCAGCTCAACGTCCCGGCGCCGGCCATGCGACCGCGCGCGCTTCGCTGTGTAGCACGACGCTGGTTAGCATGGCGCTAGCGCCAGCTCAACTGAAGCTCCAGCGCTGTCCGAGCCGCCGATCGACACGGCGCGTGGCTGGACGTTCCCGCCCGTCGCGGTCTCCGAGGCCGACGACAACTGCTTTTCGAGCGCGAGGTGAAGCTCAAGCTACCGGCGCGGCTCATGGATGTGCTAGGTGTCGTGCGGCGGCTGCGCGACACGGCGATCATTGACTTTCCACCCGAAGTCTTCTTGCAGCGCCCGGCGACGCTCCAATACCTCTTGCACCCGTCGCGACGCCGCTTCTCGAGTCTTCCGCGGGCTTTGGCGACGCGTACTACGACCATTCCAACACCTCGACGCCCACGACGCTTCTTTTCCCGTTCTAGACGTCCTTTGCGACCTCACGGCCGGATGGCTGCAGCCGTGCCGCCTCCTCGCGCATGCCACGTCGCCGCATCACACCTCTCGATATCCCTCTTCTGCAGGCGCACCGGTAGATGGCAGCTGGTCGCTCGCTGGCGGGTTTCACCAAGTCGTTGCGCTCGTGACGGCGCCGCAAGTCCACCTCGTCGCCGCTGTCGCACCAACGTGGCGTTGCGACGCAGACGGCCGTGGTCAGGACGCTTCGCGCTTCACGCGGCTTTTCATCGCCAACGTGCTCCTTGCGCCACACGTCGACAAGCACGCCGTCATGGCGCTTCTCATACTGGTCACCGACGTCTCTCCGCAGTTGACGCGGTCTGAAATGCGTACCGGTACAGTCGAAGCCCTCTAAATTCATACTAGTAGTGGATAATTGATGCATTCTCGAGTACAGTGCCGGACCGACTCGTCGTTGAGCTTGCCGCGCATATGCTGGCAACGGTAAACGCTGCCGCATACGGCCTGAGTTGATAGTACATACTTCGTTGTCCAAATACATAACAGTATATCAGGATGATATATTTTAAATAGTGTGATCTTCAGCACTGCTACTACGATCGACGCCGCACAGACGCGTCAACGCGAGACTGCACCGGTTCCTGTCGTTCTATAGCATCCTTGTATCATGGAGATGCAGGTTTGGACGCCGAACGCAGCGCATGCATGCGAATTCCAAAGCTGATTTTTCGAGGTGGCCAAAGAAACGCCCAGATGCACAACGTGTTTTCGCGCAGTTCGGAAACTCCACCGACTCCGACGCGGGCAGCCACAGTTGGCTATGTATATGGACTGGCCCGGCGACTTGCGCTCGGGCTGTGGTAGGCGCTTGGGCTCTCACAGCAAAGTCGTACTGCCGAGCGTCGTTTTTCGCCGACTTGTGCATAGCAATTCGAGTAAAAATGTCGAGTTTTCGCAGAATCCGAGAGCGCTATCTCTCTTACATGGTATCGGAGAGTATGTTACATTGACGATGGTGGTTCTAGAGCCCGCTATGGCGCCGCTTGCATTTTAATATACTATTTGAATGCATACACTATACCGGGAAATATTGGCTACAAATAGTATGTTCAATATATTGTCAAGAACTCTCGCTGCAGAGCTCGCGCGGCGACGTCACATAGCATTTTGTACTCCCTAAAGTGTGGTCTAACACTCATACAAGTATGTGCCATTTCATTTTCAAACTTCATTCTGTTCGATCCGCCAGCGCGGCGCCAGCACTCGAAAATTGAGACCGACAAAATTGAATTCCTAAGCGATTACTTTTCAACGTTGGCCTGCATTTAGATACGCAGCGTATTGCGGGCGCGATGCCTTCCTCGGCCACAAGCAACACGCTTGCCAACATAATCAAAAAGAGACGACGTCCTCGGTTCCCGCGATTTCAACCTATATTGAATCGAAATATCGTGCTGCATTTTGGGAAAACCGACGCTCGGCAGCTCGAGTTTGGTGTGAGTGCCCAAGCAACAACGCGGCCCAACTAATGATTGCAGCCCCTGTCGAGATTCATTGCCAACGGTGGCAGGTAGAATTGGGGTCCTTGGAGCTATCAAAACTTTCGATATCGTGTACTAGTATAGTTTTTGGACATTTTTCGCGCCACCTCCAAAAAGTGAGAAATTGGATTTGCCCATGAGAACGCCGCGTCCAGCGTCGGAAACGACATGTACACCATTCAGTGAATGTCTAGAGAGATATTCATATCTCCTACGTCGTGTTGACGCGTCTGTGGTCTGATAATCGCGATCTTGGTCTCACACTACTTGGAATTATGGTATGTCTCATTTGCTTTTAAATACTGTGGTGTCAATCGAACGCGCACGGGCTGCGCTACAACGTTTTGATTCCGATGCTTGCATCACGCGCGGCTCTTTTTTGCCCAAGCTCGCGCGCGCTCTGATGACGCATCCAGACAACGTTACCAGACACTCTAATGTACAATTACCGCATGCCAAAGTCGGGTGGAGCTATCGGGTGCGCGCGATAACGTGTCTGTAGCTCTTGCACCGATTGCCACCTAGTGTGGTAAGATCAACAGAGCAGGCACGTCGCCGCCTCAATATGTCTCCTTTCCACGCAAACGTTTAGTCGTGTAGATCAAACGAGCAAGACCAAGGCGATACGCGGTGCTCGTGAAAGATAATGACAGCAACCTCGGACATTGTTCACGCCGCAAAGTGCGCTCCACGGCGTCGGTCGCACGGCAGGACAGTCGCAAGCGGACGCCCTTTTGACTGTGGACGGCGAAACTAAGCTCGTGCGGCCAAGAGGTCTTTTGATGGAAACCGCTTGCAGCTATGGTATGGGTTGCAGCTATGGAGCCGTAGCGGCAGAAAAGGCCATTGCGTTTACGTTGGGCGTCTACGCGCTGCGAGGTAGGTATTCAGTTTACCGAGACAAACGCCGACAGAGACAACCTCGAGCACGGATATGAGGAATGCGGACGATGGCCTCGACCCAATTCCTTGACCCCAGCTCTCGACCACGCTCTCGCAAACCTCGACAAATTGTCCGGACATGATCCGGATGACAGCCAGTAATTCCAAAATGATCGCCATGGCGACGACGACGAGCCACGACTCTGCGGCCGAAGGGGCAGACGAAGCTGCGCGTCGAGCTTGGAGCGCGCGCGACGTCTGGTAGCACTGAACCGCATGCTAACAACCTCGACAACCTTCCGCAGCGTGCTTAGCTGCTCGCACATGGCAGTCTACCTCACGACAGCAGCAACACCATGTACTGTCCACCGCAAACCTCTCGGCCAACGTCACCTCATCCCCGATCTCTACTGTAGCTTTCGACGCCCACGCCGTCTGGCAGAGACCGCGCTCGTCGACGACCCGCACGATTGGCGCTCGCCAGGATTCGCCGCGTGCGCCCCAGTCCGAGCCGCGGCGTCAACAACGCGAGCGTGTCGCTGACCTCGATCTTTGCGGCATCGACGCGCCGCTTGATCGCGTCTGACACGAGGTACACTGCCTTTTTGCCACTTGTGTCTCACAGAGGATCAGCATGGCGCGCCTGCGTCGTGCGGTGTGCGCCAGAAGCGCCCCAGATGTGGAAGCGCGTCGCCTCCAACACCCCACGACGCTGCGCTCGATCCTTGAGCCGCTCATATCACACAAGAGTTCTTGGGCAAGCACTTCGAGAAGGAGACCGTCGCACACTCGGCGAAATCGTTGGCGAATGCGTCATGCCCAATCTCGTTCCGATCCAGCGGGTGGGCTGCAACCCGATGAGCCAGCATGTTTTCGGGCGTCTGCCTCTGTTTTGCCGAGGTCATTCCGTCCTTGCCCAAGAAACAGCTCAATCCAGAAAGTGCGCTCCAGGTCAAGTCGCGTAGGTGCTTCCGTGCTGCGTTTTCGCTCGACACCAATGGCCTTGCCCAACGTCCAAGCCATTACGCGCATGTCTCGAAGCGTTTCAGCGTACCAGCACGCTCGAGGGAACAGTACGCCCGTGGCGCGCCAGATTGCTGCGGCTGGTCTCGGCGAGCGTGTGCAGCTGGTGTCGCGGGCGTGCCTCCATACCCATCAACATCATCGCCCATTTTAGGGTCGCTATGGACCGCCCCTCAGCTACGTCAAGGGTCCAAGTCTCTGAGGCTCGAGATCTTGGTCATCAAGAGTGGCGTCGCGCTCCAGCTTTTCTTGGTGCAAATCCAGACGACGTTTGTCAAGGCGGCAGTACATGTACCAGCTGTGCGATGTTTTGGAGCAGCTTTTGAACCGGTGCTGATGAAAAATACAGTGCTTTTGATATATGCGCTTGCTCTTCTTTGCAGAGACGCTTGGATGCAAGGCAATACTACGTACACTCGAAGCTCTTCGACTGGTTCCTAGAGCATGATACCGCGCCATCTTGTACGAATCGCCGGGTATACTTTCTTCTCGGCGGCGGTCCTTGCACGCTGCCACGTACAGTCTATATGGCCATTGTGGGTGCCACGTCATTATGCGTTGCGGAAGGACCTTCCAGAAAGCATAGAAGCTTGCCCGGAAGTCGATCGGCAGTCTGCTGCAAATCCTACGTGGGGAACACGAAACGACCTGATTCCGTATCAAGATCGTAGCTATATTGGGACAAGCGCGTCAAAGGCAATATGGCTGGCATCCTCCCGGGGATATCCAGGACGTTTTTGGTTTATACAACCAAAGACCGTTTTGACATTGTCAAACGTTGCTGTTAGACTTGGCAAGTGTTGAAGAAACACTTCCGGCGTGCTTCGTATACTGGCGGTTGAAATTCGGTGCTTTGCTTGGTACGACCCGACGCCTTGTAATCAGCAAACACAATTCTCGAATGGTTTCCATTCTACAGTCTTGTGGCTCTTACAGGCTAGGTTGTGCGGAGAAGCACCACTCAACACCAAGTGTACGGAACATTTCTTTCACTTTTCTTCAATTTTATCATTTTTTCTCTTGGCCCACCAGGTCGCGAGGTCGACTCTACGGCGTTTAAAAATGAAATCGTCAAGGTTGGGTAGATTGGTATAGCTTATACTAGTAGAGGACGCTGTGGAGAGTGCGAAGAGAGAGGTTGCGTCGCCGTGCAGCGGAAGCGAGGCGCGATCCAAGATCTTTTTATGGCACATGCCACGAAAAAGATCGGAGTGCCATTTTTGACCACCACCCGCGAGCCGACGCAGCTCGGCCGCCGATCTCGCGTTTGAAATGAAATCGCCCATACTCGGTACATGGATAGAAGACACTTTGGGGAGCAGAGCAGACCACGCTACGCCGCCACTGCGGTCTTATGACGCGAGCAATGATCGACAACGCACAGATAGCATTGCTCTTTAGGCGTTAAAAAGCAAATTGCCATAAATATTGTGTTCGCTACCTTGCCACGTTCCCAGTTCATGCTGCAAGCGTGCACACGCGAGTTAGTGAGACTGGTTACCTATTGGGAGGAAGCGTCAATGTTACCGCTGCCGTTGTACTACAACGCGCGCAATGCTCGACAACAGATAAAAAGCGCATTTATAACGTTAAGAAGCAAAGGACCGCATTGGCATGTATCGTAGTCTTCGTCTTTTGCACTTGTATCGACGATTTCCCTTCCACTGGATCAAGATTTCGATTCCGAGCAACGTCCATGGAGTTATTACGTCCAGCGCCATCGCATCCTGTGAAGCGATTGGAACGAGAGGCTGGTAGCTCACAATGATCGGGCTTCCGCTCTCGCGGTGATCTACTGTCACAACGTGTGTGATGGCATATAAGCGTCCTCGTATGCAAAATGTCGATTCCTATGACGTGGCACTCGGAGAATGTCTCATTTTGGTGCAAGCGTTCAGTCGTGTAAAAACAAGTGTAAAGGCGAGCACGACAAAGGCTATACGCAGTT